CCGAAATATATATATATATATATATATATATATATATATATAAATGAATCATAATTTTTCCTTATGAAATGCAATATAATACTGTGAAATATAAAGAAAATTAAAGTATGCTGTTGAAAAGTATAATAAAAAATTTTTGAAATATTAAATATGAAATTGATTGAATATAACTAAAAACTGTGCGATTAAAAAAAAAATGCTGAAATATCTATTAAAGTAATTTTTTATTGAAATATTGACGAAATGATAATCAATTGAGATAGATTTTTAAATACATTTTTATCTTTAGTAAAATATTTCCATCGGGGTAATCCTGTTCGAAAAATTAATTTCCTAAAGGTAGAAACTTTCCTTTGAAAAGTAACTTGCTAAAAATATGACGAACTTCCTAAAAATACGGATCTTAAAGAAGTATCTAAGACAATTTAAGAAACAAGCTCTCCAATTTATGTCTTCCTAAAAGACTTCCTAAAAGTCCTCTATTTGACGCAAATGCAATAACGACGAACGTAACGAGGCGCGTAACGGATATGGTGGTGATCGCACTGCGAGCGAAATACGACGTCTTTTTGGGTTGCTGGGACGCAGGTGCACGACTGAAGAAATGCGATCTTCGTTGTGCAGCGTGAACACGGCTTTCAGCGCCCTGAGGACTCTGATTCCGACCGAGCCGGCGGACAGGAAGCTGTCGAAAATAGAGACCCTGAGGCTGGCGAGCAGTTACATCAGTCACTTGGATGCCATACTCATTGTGGGCGCGATAGATCAACCTTGCTCACGCCTCCTGGAGAACAGCGGCATTTGCTCCACGAGGCCGCAAGTGTGCACCTTTTGCTTGGCTATGCATAAAAGATACGTAAGTCGAAAACTCTAGCGGTTTACGTTTGGACTTGGTGTCTTGCCGGTTCCTCTCATGTAGTGGCGAACGTGAAATAGTTTTTCATCCCAAAGTACGTCTGTGTCAGCCCTCTCACGTAAAATAAAATAAACTGTACAAAATGTATAGAAATGTGTATATTATAGATATTTTTAATTACAATTGAAATAAATAAGATGATAATTCAATGTCTCTGTGTGTTAGTCACTTTCGGGAATTAATACTCCAAAAGACTTTTTATGTTTGAGCCATTTGTATATATATAATAATCACACAAGACATGTGTGTTCGATAATTAAAGCATAATTTTTTATATTTTTCTATCTCATATTTGCAGAGTTTTAATGTCTCTCAGGTAATCCCGGATTATTTACACGACGATACACCACCGTATATCTCTTTATGCCGACGAATGCGACATGTTTCAACTTAAACGTGAATGATGTTTAAACCAGAAAAAGTAACATTATAAACACACGCCTGTATATTTTCTTGTAAATATACTATTGCTTCATTAAATTCTATAATAATTCCGCGTTTGCTAAAAATCAAATAGAGATTATATAAAATATAAACTGTACAAAATAAAAATTTATATAAAAATATGATTTAAAAACCTACTTTTTAAATTTTTGATCGAGAAAAAATCGAAAAAATCCATGGAAAAATGGAAAAATTCGGGGTTTTTTCTATTTTTTGCATTCATCCGTAGAAAGAAATCTAAAAAAACGCAAAAAAATTGAAAAAACTTTAAAACTAGGGTATAAAATTATTAGTAGTCATCAGTTTTTGACGATAATCTATTTTGTCAGATAGCGATATACTTTCTGTTAAATCTAAACCGATGTACGCGTGATTTCAGCTTCAAACAATTGAAGTAACATTCAAATGTTCTGTCGCAATGAACAATTTCTTCACACCCCGTCCCCTCTCGATCGCACATGTCCAGACATTCGAGCGTCAAATCTGGCGGTAGTCAGCTACAACGTTGATCAAAAAAATGTCGCAGTTCCCCTGCAACTCGTAATCGTCAAATGATAATTCGCGATTTACGGGTTGAAGCGTCCTCCTTGACGAGCAACAATTATTCCGTCGAATTTTCCATCTGAGCTCGCAGCCGATCGAGTCGATAAATCGTTGTGCACAACGCGAAGAACGTCGAACAGGAAACAGCTAGGATCGTGACTTCGACTCGAGTAGTGAGGCGGTATCTTTGAGGCGTTCAGTCTCGCGTCGCCGACAATGCAGTGAGGAGGCGTGTTCTCGTTTTTCTTCCGCGTTTCTCGTTCGCTGTTCGTAGTTTACTGTTTTTTCATTCTTCGCGTTTCTTCGATTGCAAGCCTGTTTAGCGTCGTATCGAATGATGTCGCGTCGCATTGCTGATTACGTTCGTCGCGGATCGTCGCAAACGAATTAGGTGAGTTCAGTCCTCTTCGGGACGCTCGGCCGTTACGCCGCCGCCATTACATAAATAACAAAGAGAAACGCGATTCGTGGATTTGGTCGGTTAAATTTGTCGCGCGGTTGAATCCCTCGAAGCGTGTCGACGTTTGAAGCTCTCGATTACGCAGCCGTGCGCGTTATGACTCGGCTTCGTCGATTTCGTCGACGCTCCCGGAATCGCCAATCACGTCCGAAGAAACTCACGATCTCCCGTCACAAAGACGTTACGAGAGATCGCAATTTTTTTTTTTCACTAGCTGCCTCCAGTCGGGAACGCGCATCCCTGCGTTTATCTCAGCGAGTTTCACGTTTCGTCCCGACAATTCGATTCCTCCCGTCTTCGCCAGAACGGAACGAGAACCCGTCGGATCGGACCAGGACGCGAGAGAATTCAACGAGAACCGAGACGCAACATCGGGACCGGGTACGGAGCGCGCGAGCGCATTCTCACGGCGCATCGGGACGCGCGAGAGGCAGCATCCATCGGCGTTTACCTTATCCCGATAAGTTGCGCGCGCGCACTGTGCCTCGGGCCGCGCTCGGCGGCGCGCTGATTGGCCGTGCCAACCATAGAGCAGCACGGAGAGCCGCCGCGACGATTGCGAGACTCTCCGCGCGTCGCAGTACGTCGCTCCGCCGCTTTGGCGCTGCGCTCGGCCGGCGGCCATCTTGTAAGAGTGTCTCCTCCGTAGTGTTTGGAGGTTTCGCGAGACGGGACGGCAGCTAACTCCGCCGGAGGCTGGAAGTGCTGCTGAAGTGGTCGCAACGGTCCTTGGCAGTCCCTGGGCGTCCAGGTGACTTCGCGCGAAGCCAGGGTACCATCGAGCCGCCGGGACAGCCGCCAGCGGATCCTCCTGCGCGCCCGAATCCGTCGAAAGATGGTGAGTGCGCCCGCCTCAGTTAACACCCTCGTCGAGCCTAGATGTGTTGTCGCGAGCGCGCGACATTGCTGTTCGTCGTCGACGTCGACCATCGCGTCCTTGTCGTCGACCGCGAACGATCTCGCCGGTCCGCTCGCTGTCACTGCTACGTCCCGCACGGACGCGATCGCTTTAACCTGTACGCATTTAACACGGACTGGGCGAGGGAAGTCGTCGCGACAACGACGACTACGGAGGCGGTGGCGACGACAATGACGACGACGACAATAGGCAAAAGTGACGAGCGATACACCCCGCGTTCGAAAGCGACGTTCGCGCCAAGTATTCCCCCTTCCGCCTCGCCGTGCTTGCTTCCTCGGAGGCGATCTCACCTGACGATCTCTCTCGTGCGGCGCGCGACATAGAGCGATGTATATGTGGCCTGTGGCGCGCGTCGATCGTACACGGGGAAGCGGACTCGCACGGATGGCCGACGGTCACGGGGGGCGGCGTTCGATTTCTCCGGTCTGTCGGCGGGTAGGGAAGGGTAGGGAAGAGAGAAGGATCGCTTGTTGGTCGGGGATCTGTCAAAATTTTACGACGTTCGCGGCGTCGGGGAACACTGCGGGACCGGCGCGAGCTCGGCGGCACGGATTAACGACGAACACGGTAGTAATCCATACACGGCTGCTCGGTCGTCGTCGTCTTTCGTGTCCGTCGCCAGTAAACACTGGGAATCATTCTCGCGCGATTACGATGTCGGCAGCTAAATTCGCAGGTGAGAGATTATGAGAGAGAGAGAGAGAGAGAAATCGTGCTCAAGACGACGCACGCCGTATGTGTTGCCCGTTTGTTTGTGTCCGCGCTTTTGGCTGTCATATAGCCGTCAAGAAAGAGAAAGAAAGAGAGAGAGAGAGAGGGGGTGGGTGGGGACTGGTCTCGTCGTATAGCGCGCAGCGTCTCTTTCTCTCTTCCTCCCTCTTTTTCTCGCTCTGCCTTCCCCTCTCACGCTTGTACATACGTCGCGTGCTTCCGCGTAAATTCGCGTAGAACTGGAACGGCGAGCGACGACGTGTTGCCCCACCGGCTAGTCAATATTTTGTGTAGCGTAGCGTCGTCTCGCTCTCCTTCGCCTTCCGGATGCCGATCACGCAGCTGCGCGCGTTACGCCAGTCTTTCTCTACACGAAATCTATCACTCGCGACTCCCTTCGCTCTCACGACTCTTCGTCGTTGCAGGGGAAGAAATCTGGGGTAACCTCCGTGCGCTCGCTCAGGGTTGAATCGTCCGCGGCCGACGGGCGACGCGAGCTCGATGATATGCATCGAGATACGGTTGGTAATCAATTGATATCTTCGAGTAAAGTCTCTCTCTCCTCTCTCGCAATCGGATAGTTCCTAGAATGCTCGAGCTAGTGTCGCGCGCGCACCGCGACAGTGCCGAGCAGAAAATTGCGCAGGGCGAAGTTATCAAAGTCAATATTTTGCGGAGCGACAGAAGCAACGTTTTTACACTGCCGACACGTGCTGCTCGTGCGTCAACAAAAAAATGCCAGAGATACACGGATATTGTGGATATATGGTGTGTGTGTTTGTGTGTGATATCTATTATTTTATTAAAACAAATACTGTCTTCGGCGTGTCGCTTGAAATATTAATATCGCTTCGCGCACACTTACGCACCCCGTCACTCAGCAACTGTCGTGGCGACAATTGCGCGTCGAGTGATTTAACCGCCGCTACTAAATCTAATTCGGAGAGATTTAAGCTCTCTGAGAGCGCTCTCTCTCTCTCTCTCTCTCTCTCGTGAAAAGGAGAAAAAGGACGGTTGCGAGAGAGACGGCAGCAGCCTTTGGCACGTGTTATAAACGCACTTCTTCCGCCCGGCTAAGTCGAGATATTATGCATCATGGCTTGTAAATCCTCGCGGTTACATTCTGGCGTTGAGGAACCACGATGAAAATTTATACCATCATCGACACAGAAGGAAGATGGAACGAGATTCGCGTAGAGAGAGAGAGAGAGAGAGGGAGCGTAATTGAACGTGGTTATGAAAACGAAACAGAAACGGCGCGGCACGGAACATTTACATTCGCGAAGGACAAGGAAACATCGTGAGGCGCCGACCGACGCCGCACATCTTCCCCGCGTGTATATACATTTTCGCTTCGGTAGTTCATAATCAACGTTCCCGCTCGGCGAGAGCGCACGCACGACGCTCTTAATTAACGAACGCTGTTTACATGTGTATACAAATCATCGACAGCTACTTGCTTTCGGATATTTCCGCGACGAGATATGTCGGCGCCGGTTCTCAATCGAACGGTAGGCAGATAATACGCGTGATACGAAGCCGCGAGCGAGGCTCAGGGAGGCCAGGTCGAAGCTCCGTTCGGAGAAAGTTTTTTTTTTTCCCCCTCCCCCCACCCTCTTCTGAGCGAGCGAGCATATTGTCGAGCGGTGTCGAGCGCTTCCCGGTATTTCGCCGAGGGTAAACTCGCCTCGAAGGCCCGCTAGACGCAGAGAGAGTAGTCGTTCGGAGCGAACGACGAGATGCCCGGCGATCGGCGACGGCCGAGCGAGTGTACGTAAGAGAAATTCATAATTGGCTCGAGACATTAAGTTTAACAGTACTAATTAAACCGGTTCGACGTGCGATAATGGTGCCCGACGCTCCCCGAGGATCGCGAGAACGCGCCGCAGCCTCGGCGGCGCCAGTCGAACGCGTGAAATTGCGCGACGCAACGTCCGCGAGGACTCGCGGTCTTCGCTCGACCGGCGACATGTTCCTCGAAGGAGAGGATCTCGGGCGAGATAAGGGGATCGATTGTATGTGTGTCTCGAAACTTGATGAAAGTCGCAAAAGTGAGTTCTCGTTTGATCGAGGGTACACGGTTGTAGCGCGACAAAATTTTGTGTTGAATTCACGCTCAAATTGTTGCATTAATTTACACAAGATGAATATATTGAAAAGTAACATAATTACTGTGTGATTTAGTGACATAAATATAGCGAAAATTTACACAAACTTAAGGCGTTTAATCGACACCGAAGTGTAAAATGTGTTATTTTAATACCTAATATTGATACAACATAAAATGTTGAGGTAACTTAAAAACAATATGCTAAATTAACACACGGTTAAAAATTTAACGCAAATTTGAACAAGGACCGATTTTAACATAAGTACGAGATGTTTTTTTACTGTGTAAGTTTCATTATTATTAGAATTATCAGCTGTGCTCTTTTAAGAAACGGCGCACTTTTTTTTATCGCATTGAAATCAAATAAACTTTTTTCGATGCAGATCGGAATGCAGCCGATAGTCCNAGGGGGGGGGGGGGAGGTTGTTTTCGAAAAATAAGTTCTTTCATTGGACTATAATTTCACCCATTCACATTGGCCGCAGCATCGATTGCGTTCTAAAATGCATATAGAAAAAAGTGTTCTAACCATCTACGGAAAACTTCGGTAATGTCTTTCATTACCGGTTAAAGTATTTCGGCTCGGGTGCATCGTATTTATATATTTTTGTATTATGACTTTTGGTTTTGAAAAGAATCAGTAATTAGGTCACACTGAATGTAACATTAACAGTGTGTGTGTATGTGTGTGTATGCATTCCGTGTATATTTACTTTTTATTTATTTATAATTCTATGGTTTTAGAATGGCTTCTGTTTTACTATTTTTACTTCTATTCTTTTTTATCTTCGCATACATACGTGTTTTAAAATGCCGTACCGTGCCGTAACATATGATTTACAAACTAAAATAGAGATGACAAAAATGATACATTCAAGCGTTCGGAATTCGTGAAACTTAGTCTAACTTGCCTAATTTACATCTAAGTATATCTTGCTAATCATATTCAATGTGTACATTATTGTTGCATTTAATGTGACTGAATTGCCGATTTTTTATCAAAAAACCAACGGTCATAATACAAAAATATATAAATACGATGTACCCAAGTCGAAATACTGCCTATCTTAACCGGAAAGATGAGGAATATCGGATGGAGGGTATTGTCGGAGTCGTGTGATGTAAATATCTATATTTAGAACTTCAGTCTCCATAATATGTGATTAAAAATTCCTACTTCCTCTAGATATAATAAATATTTAGAGATTGTATTCCCCTCATTTATAATCTAAAGATAGTAACTCTAACTCGAAAAATGAAAACGCGATATATCTCGCTTGAGATACATCGTTCGACGAGTAATTTCGTGCCGGACGGCGTGCAACGGTGTTGCAGGGATGTAACGTTCTCGTATGGCCAAACGCACGTATTTATTCGCATTCCATGAAAATACACGGGAATTGAGGAAAGTCGGCGAATATACACAATCCTGAGTCCTTCGTCGTGCGCGGGACTCGCACGAGACGCAGTCCGTAAACGAGTGTAAGGCTTGCTTTGATTGTTTAGAGTTCGGCTTCGACCGGTGGTACGGAGGGGTCTAGTCCAGCCTCTAGCCCTGCCTCGGCCGCGAGTCTCACGATGGCTGCGCCGAAATACGGTACGCTGGTGCCTAATCGTATTTTCGTGGGTGGCATCTCGGCCAGCACCAGCGAAGCGGAACTCGCCCAACTCTTCTCGGCCTACGGCAACGTCAAGGCCACGAAAATTATCTCGGATCGCGCCGGTGTCTCCAAGGGTTACGGCTTCGTCACTTTCGAAACGGAGGAGGAAGCGAAGCGTCTTCAGCAAGAGGTTCGTGTCGCGCGATGTAGAACGATCGTCCGCTTCAGCGCGCGACGGCTGACGCCACTGAAGATGCCGAAGCGTTCTTTTTTTCTCTCCTTCTCCCCCCCTCCCTTCCTCCCTTTTCTACTACATTTATCCGCTCGTCGTTGCAGTCCGAATGCATCGTCCTGAGAGAGAGGAAGCTCAACATAGCGCCCGCGATCAAGAAGCAGCCCTTCAACAGATCTTTCGACGGTGGTTCCGGTTCGCCTCCTTCCGTGCCTACGAGTACTTACTATTATACGAACGGTATGGTGATCGTTAATTGCGCGCGCGCGAGACACGTGTTGCAACGCGTCGCGAACAATCGGCCGGAGCGTGTAGGAGACTGTATTTCTAATCGTTTCTCTCCCTCGTCTGCGCCTCACGGTGTGTATAGGTATGGGTCTCGCTTATCAGAACGGCATGACATTCTATAACACGGCAGCTCCTGCACCGGCAACTTCCATTGCTCCGCCGACGGACCCGGGAACGATTTATCAAGCTACCGGAGTGTTCGGTGAGCATTACCAACGACGTATTTTATTATATGTGTCCGCGCGTTTCTGCAACTGCTGAAAAATTCTCGTGACAGAGGAATGAGGATTTCTAATTACGGGGGGGGGGATAGATCTGGGATTTGAACTCGAGTATAATTATTCGCGCGTTTACTCGGAAGTCGGGACTAACTCGAAAGAGAGTAAACAGATCTCACATTTGTCATGGAGATTGTTATTCTTAAGGATAAATATTAACGCAAATCAGTTCGAATTTTTATTTGGATAGTTGTAGCACAAAATGAGTTTCTTAAGAATTCGTTGTAACCTGCACTATATATAGATTTAAATACGATCTCATTATTGGCGCAATTGCACGCAGATTGACCACTCGAAAGCTGAGATATTCGCAAGGATGACACTTTTTATACGTATTCCTTGAGGTTAATATCCTATCTTTAAATTCTATTTTTAATTTCTTCCACACCACAATTAGCATTTCAATGAAAAACTACTGGTGATATTAAGGACAAATATAGAGATATACAACAGTTTTAGAATTATTGACTATTTTGTTTTGAAAGTACAGCAGTATAAAATTCATAGCTTTATACGGGATTACCACAGGCCTGGAAAGCCGGGCAAAGTTATGGAAGTTTAAAATGTCAGGGAAAACTTGGAAAAGTCAAGGAAAGGTATAAAAAAAACTTGAGATCTTGAACTTTGCTCACAATTCCCTTAAATGCTCTGTACCGTATTCTTTCTTCCAATACTTGTTTATTTTTTGTTGGTCCGAATTTGCGTTCAGGATTATATTATGTTATATAAACTTTTAACTTTATGTTGCTTCTAATAATATATAAGCTACCTTCCTTGCAGTCTCAGCTAAACGTTAAAGTTTAAGATTACATGTTGCTCTTGGAAAGTTCTATTGTCTGGAAAACATGGCCAAGTCAGGGAATTTTAAAATTAATTCTTTATGACAACCCTGTTACAGTAATATTCGAAATACATACACATATGCAGATATTTAAATACTTATATATCTCTTTCTATTATCTGTGCATCTCTATTATGCGCAACTAATGCGTGAAAAATAGCATTAATAAGAAAATTAATATTATTTTCATATTTGTAATATTGTACATAAATATTTACCTCGACTTCGTTTTAAATTTACGTTTATTATTCAAGTAACGAAATAAACATACAGGAGCATATAATTTTGCTTGATAAATACTGAATTTATGAGTGTATACCCCTTTAATGCGCCACTGAAGATACGGCACTCTGCGACACAACTGTCTTAAATGACTATCCGATTTTTCTTACATTTAAATAGTCGATGGAGGCAACAAAATCACGAAAACACGTGTGCCCGATTGATATACAAACTTGTACGATCATAAGCCCGAGTGAACTTTTACCCAGAAGTGTATTAATAACCGCTGAGTAGCGGTAGGAACGCTCTTGAAGGCGAGCTCTCTTGACAATACAAACGCGGGCAGTTTTAATGCGGCACGTTTATTGTTGACTTTATGGTGACTGATAATCCAAATGTTATGTCTAGGTCCTCAAGCGGCTACCGGCCATCAGACGTTCGCTCCTGTGATGTATCCGTGCCCAGCGCCGGCGTCGTTGTATATGCCGCAGCAATACCAGTATTCGCCTATGCCGGTACGTAAAGAACAACCGACGGCTTATCAGCCGTTCTACTACACTTCTCTCTGCCCTCTTTGATCCTTCTCCCTTCATTTGGAAGAGCCTGCCGTCCTCCCTGGGTCCCTCACGTATACACGCGCACACGCACACATATAAATACTAGCATTAAGATCCTTTAACCGTCTTCTCTTTTTCTGTCTGTCTATCTATCTATCTATCTCGTCTCTGTATTTTGTATTTTTATTAAACGGTATATCGGTTGCGGTTTGACAGACAAACGGTCTGATGGGGGAAGCCATACCACCGGCGTTTCTACCCAACCCTCAGCAAATGCCTACTTACGTCCTTCTCGACGCTATACAGTATTGAGGTCTAAAGGTATATGGTCTATGCTAAGCGACTCGAGCATGCCGCTCGTCATCTCTCGAGCATCTTTCCCTTTTTTCTTTGTTGCCAAGCCTCCTCTCTCACACGGCCTGCCGATGCATGTTCTCGTTCAACGCCTTTTTTGTCTCACAAAAATCTGTGACTTGTGCTCTTTCTTTCTCTCTCCTCTCTCTCTCTCTCATACACACGTATTATTTCTCTTAATAATGATTTGTGATTAAGTGTTGCAACGTGAAGATGTTATTAAGGCGCTTTACCGACTTTATTTGCACTCTCGTACTCGGCATGACACCGTGTTTATTTCATTTCTCTCTCTTTCTCGCTCTTTCGCATCTTTGTTCGTCTCACCCTCCGACGACATCTGCTGTAGTAGTGCCAAGCGGTCTTCTCGCACGCGACGCGCGTTTACTGAAACGACACCTTCCCGCTGTTAATATTGTCGCGATAGATCTCCCCTCGAACGGAACTCTTCAGACGCTCGGGAGAATAGCGCGGAAATAGAATACATCGAAAACTCATCCTCCGCAGAGCATCCGTCGAGAAGCGTGTTTGTTGTACATAGGCATGTGCGCGCGGTATGGACTTAGAATGGCTTAATTTCGTATTTCTCTCTCTCAGTTTCTTCCTTCCGTCTCTTTCTTTCTCTCTCGCCCGCCCGCTCTTTCTATTTTTAATGTGAAATTCAAGTATATATACGTACGAGACAATAAGACGACGATTCACCTTGGACGTCGACCGTCAGTCAATAAATAGTTACGCCACGTAGTAATTAACGCTTCGTTCATCAGTGTAATCCTCGAGTGTGATTCGTCTCTCTCTCTTTCTTTTTCTCACACGCTGCGCTGCTCTTCCTTAACTTGGAATGATCTAGGAAATGACTACTACTTGATATATTGGGATACATTACACATACACACACACACATACGCGCGGGTTGAAGTGTACAGACTCGCTTGGCTTACATAGAATCATATTATGTGGACCTGTTATTCTCATTGTGAATGCGGCTGTTCTCGTAAACGTCAGTTTAAAGTTCATCGAAGTTGGAGTGATGTGTATCCTTCAGTTTGTATTTATAGAAAGGAATATCAGAGCCAGGTCAATTAACTTGAAAATCCCCCCCCCCCTCTCCCGGTGGAGCCAGATCGCCGCGTTACGCGGTTGATATCTTATTTATCGATCACCTCGATATATGAAACTTTTTTCGTGTGAAAAATTAATCAGATCCAAAACGTTACGGAGCGTCCGGGGAAACGCGAGTACTACTAGCACAATTGACGCGGCGATCGGCGACGTCGATTCTTTGCGGCGTGAACTTACGTTTAGGACAATTCACGAGAGAGTCTCGCGTGATTTCATGCGGGGGAAGGGGGAGTAAAAATAAACGGACGTGTTTCCACCACGGACACGCAAACTGTACGCGCGTATTCAGCGTTTTTTCAAAAGCTACACACAATTTAACGCCGTAAGAAAAGCAAACTGCGATTCGCCGAAAAACCGGTGTACCGTCTCGGCGAATTCAATTGTCCCCCTTCCTCGCAGGAATGGCCGGAAAATTCCAGTAAGGTGGATAAAACCATAAATTCCGGTCTTTACCGTCCCGGACTATTGTCCGATGGGATAAACTGGCAGAAACTATCAGAAGGATCAACGTGTGTGTGTAACACTAAAATATGTTTACGTAACTTTATGCACATTTAAAGACATTCTTGCTTTAATTAGCAGATCATATCGCTGTGGTTTAAAGAAAAATGAAACGAACGTAAATAGTGAAGTCGTTTTGTAACTCAAATTGATATGTGGAATATATTTTTAATAAAATAAAGGCTTCGGAAATGTAAATGTCACTAAATTTTATATCAGTTTTGAGTTTGACGAGAAAAACAATAATAAAAGATTATTACCGATATAGAGCTGGCTCGCGTTTGCATTTACTTTGACCTCGTTGCACTTTAAAAAATGCTGTTTTAGTTGTCGCGCTTTTGTACTAATTAATGTTCCACGAGCGATACGTATCTGCTTATCAACGTCATCAACAGAACAGGATACAAAGCAAGTCGGTACAGCGTCTTTGCGTCTTCCTCCTGATGCATTCTTCAAATTACTCACGTTATAACCGACTTCATCGTTAAACGACATACGTATATAATAATAACTTAACCGAACTGCGTGGAAAGATTCGTAGGAAATATGAACATGATCGCGCGCTTTTCACACTTGTTTTTCACACGCAAGATTGTTGCCGGGACTATAGGGCTCGCCTTGGATTGCCTATAATTAGAACATCTATAAAAAGAATTCTCTTTCTCCCTTTTATTTTACCGTTTTTAACAGAAAATACCAGTTTCACCGGTTTTCCTGGAAAATACCGGTTACTTACCACCGGCATGAGTTTTATCCAGAAAATCTGGAATTTTGCCAACCCCTCCGCCCCCCTTTTTTACGGAAACATGCGTCTTGCTTGAGCAAGACTATCGCGTACTCGGCATTCATGCTCGAACGCGAAGCACCGCCACCAGCGAGCGCACGAACGAATGGATACTCACCGCAACCTTGTGTTCTGTCTACAGTACGAAACATACTACGCAGGAGCAGCCGCCGCTGGGGCACCCCAATACTTGTACGCTACTGGCAGTTCGCAGAGCAACACGAGCGGTGGCGGCAATAATTCCGGCAGTGGCAATAATGGTACAGGAGCGACTAGCCCGCCGACGGCGGGCCCACCGCCGCCTCTCCCATCTCTGCCTCCTCCACCTCCGACGCACTTTTACGCTCCTGCTGCACCGCCCCCACATCATCATCCACCGGTGCCCGCGGGCCCGCATCCTCCCCCAGCACAGGTGGATCATCTGTACTACTCTTTTGCAGCTGGCCCACCGCCCCCGCCGCACGCACCTATGGGACTGACCGAGCAGCAGCTGTTGTTGTACGCTACGGACGCGTCGTGCCAGCAAACCACCACGTCTGACGGTCAGGCTGCTCCGCAGGAGGTGAGTTCCCCTCATCGTCCTCGGCGTTCCTATCACCCGTCGTCCTCGATTCTACGTCGACTTGCGTATTACGCGCCCTCGGCGATTCCGAGTCTCGTGGCTGTCAATGTCGGACACGAGTGCCCCTGGTGTTCGAGCTTGTCCGATTGTGCGCCTCCTCAGGTCGTCTCGACCAACGACATGTATCCGTAGACCGAGCATTCCGTCCGCGGGCAGGAGGGAGGAGAGGCCGGAAGTTGGCAGTTTAAGATGGAGTGAGGAGTTGATTTTTGCCAGTGTTATTTTCCTGCTCTGGCTTAGAGGTCTGTCGAGAGACGCGATAGGCGTTCTAAAACTATGTCAGCTGCTACGTAGAAGACGCATAAATTTGTCTTATTTAGATATAGCGTGTGCAAATAATTATTATCGAAGAAAATTGAATTTACAATATAACGTTATCGGGACTCGAGGTTCGGTTTAAGCGTGGAAGGTAGATTTCGTGTACGATTGGCTGAGAATACTCAGTACCTGCGTTACACGCTGAACAACTTTATCCTCTCACGAATAATATTAATACTGACGATATTAATATTCTAATGACACTATAACATCCGTGCTTTGCTTTTAATAAAGGCCTGTTAAATTTACTCTTCCATTGATTAAATAATTATTGCACATAGCGATATTTACTTAGCATAATACTTTATACATACACAGAGAAAAATTTCTTTGGATTTGATAAAATATCTTTAATTGAGACAAATTTATCTTTTGGAATGGAGCAAACACACGAATGTTTGATTTAAAAAAACGGGGTTGTTTGGTTTCTCAAACAATAAATATCTTTATATCAAATAACACCTTTTTGTTGTATTTTCATTTAAACATTGGAATAGTTGTCACAAACAATAAATTATTTGATAGAAATAACATCATGTTAGAAAAATGTTACAAAATTCCTTTGTGTTTTAGTGGAACAATATTTAATATACTGGGTATCTCAACAGGAGAATATATAAATATCTACTTTGTTTTTAATGATACGAGAAATGTTTAATGCATAATTTTTCAATCATTTCGAAGGAGGAACATCATGGAAGAAAAATCTTTTTAACGATCATTTTTTCGATTTTTTAATGTCTCCATATTTAAGCCCCCAAGATATTTAAGTGTTTCCCCTTATGGTGGGACACCTTGTACAATGAAATCAATTCTTTTTTATTGAAGACCAAAAATAATGTTTCTATTATTTTTTCTATCAAACGACATGGTTCACTCTAGTGAAATAACATCTTGATTCAAACAAAATGATGTTCGTTATTAAATTACATTATTTATATTAAGCAAACCCAAGCCAAACAAACACGTATGCTAAATCCAAACCTTTTTCTCTGTGTATGCAATTGTGTTGTGCATTCCACCGATTACTTTTGAACACTTTGCATATCGTGCCCCTCTAAATTTGCATACTAAACAACGCATCCTTGCGTTGAGCATTGCTTGTTAAAATCATTGAAAACGTTACGACGGGATGTGTTGGGTTTTAACAGACTCTCAAAGACAGAACGAGGCAGCAACGCTAGCAAAGCGACTTCTCACTGCCCCTTAAATCCTGCCATCTTCCGACTCGCCATCTTAGAGGTGCGGGAATGCTCGGTCCACGTGCAAACATCGTCGGTCTCGACGTTCGGTTTCGCGAACGTGGTCTCTGGTTTCTACGTACGTCGCTGTAGAATCGCGCATCTCGGGGCATCTCCCTTATCGATGCGCAGCGGTAACGGATGGCGTTGCTGGTCTCGCTATTAACGGGCGAACAATCGATGTTGGTTCCACTCGCTATGAGGATTTATTCGATCGGCGGCCGCCGGCGGGATTAAACCGGCCGAACGCGGCGTGCGCGATAATAAAAAGAGAACGAGGTCGTTTGTAAAATCGTTATGCGCGCGTAACCGAAAGATCCCCGGCCGCGATAGAGAACAGTCGTCGTTCCGTGTGACGCGCCCTTTCGGTCACACCGGGTGNTTCCTTTTTTTCTGCCTTCCCCCCCCCCCCACTCTCGTTCGAGCGCGCGTCCTATCGACACGGGCACAGCAGACGCGTGTCTTTCATCGAGAGCGGCAGCTATACTATTCAGTGCACTGAAATCGTAGGATTCACGTCCGACGGCGAGCCACTCGGAGCAACCGCACGGTGAGGCGCAGGCTGCCTCAGCCGCAACAACACCTCTGGTGTCCCTAATGCCCGTGAAATTCCCCGTGTCCGGTCGTTACGCTAATTACCAACCGATCGCGATACACACCGCCGCCGCCAATTTGCACGGCGCGCAAAACTGTTCGAGCGATTCCGACGACTGCACCGCCGCCAATGCGCCGATGCATTGCCGCACGATCGTCTACCACCCGGCCACCGTGTACATTCCACACGCACCGCCGCCTTACCACGGCGCCTCCGGCAACGCTAGCCTGCTGCCGACGCCGTACTCGGCGAGCTCGCCGCATCAGTCGTACGAGAACGCGAAGACGCACCACAGCAACTCGAGAGACGGCGGCGGTGGCGGCAAGTACACGGGGCTCACCGGCGGTCAAGGGGGCGGCTACGCGAAGGGGGGTCAACAGAATCACGGCTACCATCCGTTAACGCATCATCAGAAGTCGCAGCAGGGCGGTTCGCACAATCACAACAACAACAACAATGGCAAGTGTAGTGGCAACGGGGCGGCGGACGGGTCACACAAATACCAGACGATATCGATGTCGTCGCGATTACCAATCCCGTACAATAATAAGAGAACGGCTGGGTCGAACGTGGGCTCGCCGGCGGCCTGCTTCCTCAAGTCCGGCGGCGGCGGCGGCGGCGGTTNTACGGGTCGGCCGCGCACAGGGTCAATCTCACGGCGTCCAACTACGGCGGCAAGCCGGTGGCTAACTACGTGAACGCGTCGTCCGGCTACGAGCAGCACGCTGCGAACGGGCGCAAGAGCTACGACGACCAGACGACCTACTACGAGATCGGCAAGTCGATGAGTGGCTCTTACGGTCGCAAGGGCATGTCGAACAACAACGGCTACAGAGGAGGCGGCCGGTTGGACACGTACGCGAGTGACAGCAACGGTCGACCTAACGACGTCGGCTACGACGCCGCTTCGCAAACGGCGGACGGCGTCGCCGGTACGACGCTACCCGCTCACCTGTCTTCGGCCAACAACGCGGATACTCAGGAGAAGCCGGCGGCGAGCCCACCGCCAGCCCCCTATTCACCCATGACACGGCCCCTTCCTACTATCTCACCACCCACCCCCCAGGTCCAGTTTTACACCACACCGACTCAGACCCGTTACCAACAATCCTCGTCCATGTCCCCGTCCCAAACGCCCCTCGGCGGTCAACAGCAGCGCGGCCGCTACTCGGTCGCCCAGACGTTATCGTCCGCCAATCGGAAGCCGTCCGACAAGTACTCGAGCACCGGCTCGCAGACGATGCTGCGGCAGCCCAAATACAAGGTGAACGGTATAATGCAGCCGACGACGACGACGCCGGCGGTCAAGCTCAACGACGACAGCCTGGGAGGCGCCGGCGACGGCCCGGCCAACAGGATGCCGATAACGCCGCCCGGCACTCCGCGCGGCCATCCGGCTGCCGGCGATCAGATGAGCGATCAATTGAGCGATACGTGCCATCAAATGCAGGCGCTGACTCTGTAGGACGCTTCCCCCCGCCATTTCTTTCGCGTCTTCGCCCTCTTTGTTGTCTTTTTATCGAGAGAGTATGTTATCTTAGAAGAGCGGAGAATGAGAGAGAGAGAGAGAGAGAGAGAGACCATGCGCGACCTAAAGCGACGGCTACAAACTGTGAAAACAGATGCGACACATACACCCATGCATGCACACACAACACACTCGCTCATAAAAGCATACGCAGGCACACACATGAAACACATGCAAACACGCTACGGTATAATATCCTCTGGTGATCTCAGACCCAACATGCGATACGGTAACTAGAAGACGTTCGCTGTAGAAAAACGAAACCTTTCCCCGGTTCTTGATCGCGATAACTAGCCGATCTGTGACGAGTGACTCTTACGGACCTGCACACGTGTGAACGCGATCACGGCTACGAATATTGTTAATTGTTACATGGTGGTTGATGAAGAGAGGGACGGAGAAAGAGAGAGAAAGAGAGGGAAAGAGAGAGACGGATGTACCTATTGTTGTAAAATCTTCGCGCGAGTTGAAGTGATCTTCAAGTGGGAAGTGCGTGGAAGAAAATTAAGAGAGAAATGAAACTTCAGTCTCTTAATAGGTACATAATACGCGCAGGTACGATGCGTCGTTTACATACACCTACATTATATATTACATACTACGCATAATATTACATACTACTACAGTATCCGATGTTATATGCGTGATAGGCTCGACAAACCATGAATCTCGCGAGCAAGGCTAGATTAGTTAGCAAAAGATAGAACCGAGAAACAAACGAAGAAAAAAATGAAGAAAACAAATAACGTTGTTATCGTACAAAGACGAGCGATTTTGTCATGTGTTCAAAAGAAAAAAAAACAAACAAAAGAGTAAAACAATGCAGAGAAGGGTAACAGGGAGGCGAGATAGGGTTGATTTCATAAAACGGTTGCTCAAGGCACTGCCACATCTCCATGATTTTTCATTTTTTACCGCCGAGGACGGTAATCCGTACTTATAGTTTTTCTCTCTCTCGTTAGAGTAACCGTGAATATATATATATTATATCACACACACACACACACACACACACACACACACACACACACAC